TTCCCGTTTAAAGCCTGCTGCATCTGGAATACCAGTGAGGCAGAGGGCCTGCCTTGCCTTCTACGAAGAAGGCTTACTGAAGTATTTATTAGGAGGTGAGATGAGGAATGGAGGGAAGCAGTATGCCTGCTGAGGAAAGTCCAAAGGCCCTGAATTCCTTGCAGACTGGAAACGGTCTCCATAGAAGGCCAGATCCAGGCACCTTCCTCTCCTTCTCTAGCATTACCATGATCAGCACCCAGGAGGCAGAGTGAGGTACACCTCCCATCTTGACCCTGTGTTGATTGACGATATCATAATCGAGGGTGGGGCGGGGGAGGAAGTAACTAGAGAAGCGGCAAAAAGAGGTGTGGTGCTTTGTAAGGTTTTTGTTCAGCATTATCTCCTGACCAGATAGTCCTGGTGCCCAACCGAAATTGGCACCCCTGTAAGGTCCATAAACCAGAGTCACCCCCATTTAGAACCAGCAGTCATCTCCAGGAGGGACGCCAAATGTGTCCCCTTACCTGCTCAAGAAACACAGCTGTTACATACAGACCAAAAGGTTTCTCCAGTCCTCAGAAGCGGCTTCTTCCTGCTTAGATGTTCTGTTGCTGGCCGTATCCTAGCAACTGGCAGCTTCCTCCGCCAGGGCACCGCCCCCGCGCAGTTGCAAAGGAATCCATCAGCAAGAGCAAATGGGGAGAAGACAAAAGTGAAGGTTGTTAGCTGCCGGGAACCTAGACCTTAAGATGATTCGAAGTTAACCTCTCTCCTCCAGGAGCCTTTACACTTTTGAAAAAGCAGTCTGTAACAGTCTAAACTCACAGATGATTTTCTTTAAAAATGCAAATATGAACACTGAGAGACAGAGATGATAAAAGAATACAAGATTACAACAGTGACTGTCTGCTTACTTTTGTCCAGTTTCTACCCTTGCTGTAGCTTCCTGGCAGCCAGAGAGAACAAGAAAAGAAGAACTATTAAATACTCCTCTTTATAAGTCAGGAAAAGCAAAGCTTTTGTTTTGTTTTGGTTTTCTATCATCAAATTCTTTAAAGTTTTAAAATCACAGTTTTGGAGAAAAGATCAAATATGTTCCCTGCACAAATTTCATGTGGTTATCCTATAATAGCAGCTAATGTTTAGTAAGTAGTGCCATTAAGGACCATATCTGTATTTTGAATAGTCAGTGCAACGATTCTATTGAGGGACTGCTATTAGCACTAGTGTACTAGTGAGCAAATACACAAAGATTTGATGAGAGAGCCAGGATTAAACCCAGCCCAGATTTTAAACCCCTACGATGTGCTGCTGTGTTCAACATCCTCTGGTGTTTAATTAATACAACTAAAAACTTGTTCAACAGTCCACTCCCTCATTCACACGAGTCACTGTCTTCATCTGTATACCTTGTTGCTACAATTCCATTCACCTCTCCACTAACACTCACTTTCCCACCCCTTCACTTCAAAGGTTTATCATTCCTTGTCCTCCTGTTAGGGGCAGTAATGAAAGCACTACGGTTAGGAATAGAGGTGAGAAATGGAGCAAAAAGCAGGCAGCAGAAAGGTTCATGTCCTTACCACTCCTAAGTGTAGCCTGACATCCACAACCTGTCCTAATAACGTATTGAGAATGTACTATGAACTTAACTTTATATGCTAAATTGTACAACAGGCTTTCTTAGAGTGTACTTTTCTTAGACGGTCTATGTAGCTTGAATAGCTTACTAAATACATCAAGAGAACACACTCACTTTCTCTCTCACAAACACATAAAAAAGTGTATGGCTATGTGTCAATGTCCCCTGAATGAAAATGGTGATAGAAAAATAGTACTAATTACAAAATGAAAACAGTGCCATCCTAAAGCTTTTGATTTACTTTTCATCCTAAATCTGTGCACTTGCTTAGGTCTTGTTCAGAATGACTTATCTACCTTCAGTCACCTTGGCATTTATTTATAAGCTTTCTTTTCATGTGCTCCCACTTTTACAAAGATGCCATCTAGTGGCCTTATGAAATCAAGCATTTCAAAGTAACTCCATATGGAAATGTATGTTGATAAAAATGGCTAAGTAGGAAAAAAATTAGAATAATTATTTACAACACTAAGGACCTGAAAATTGTTTTGGAAATTATCTCTGGATTAAATTTGCATCATTTGTGAACTTGTGAAGGCCCATCATCACTTTCCTGAAATTTTTGAAGTACATTAGATATGTTTGAGATTCAACATTTCACTGAATTTTGGAAGGTGAATGTGGGGACATAGTATTAAGCAATACCTCTTCAACCCCAAATCAAATACATCGACTCTTCTGTGATAAAGATGCTTATTCATATTAAAATGGGATATAGATCAGAAACAGCCTTGTATCGACTTAGGTTTGTTTTACTTACAAACGAGCTATGGGAAAACTTTCTATTCCATTGATTTTTAAAACTTAAAAGATTTGTGGTCCTGTTGTACCCTGAAGAAAAGGAACCCATGCTCAGACAGTAAAATGTGACATTCTGTAACAAGGTAGTATGTTTATCTCTAAGAAACGTACAAGATACACACACACACACACACACACACACACACACACACAGTCATGAAACCCAATAATATATCTTACAATTTAGTCATCAAAAAACAGAAATTAATATATCATCAATTACATTTAGATATGCCACCAAAAGATTATATGCTACTGTGAAACTACAAAGACTGCTTTGAAAATTAACTAGCAGTGTGGCGAACACAATTTGTGAGTTCTATGGCATTTTCCAAACATACTTTGTCTTTATTCATGTGATTTGCTATGTTCCAATTCCTCACGGCCACGTTCATGGAGGAATGTTCTGGTAGCATCGGCCTAGTCTGTGTCCCTCCCGGGTAGAACTCTTAGGAGCACTTTTGTTGAGTCTCCTTGCACATGTACCATGAATAAACAAGGACTTCACACTGGGTACCTGGGAGAAGAGCAGTCTGTAGAGTGCTTGATTTGTGAGACCTTAAATTTGACTCCCAGAACCCATGTTTACAAAACAAAAGAAGCCAAGGTTGATGGCACATGCTTGTAATTCCAATGCTGGGGAACCTTTCCAGGTCAGCGAGATATTCTGTCCAAAAAAAGCAGTAAAATGAAAAAAAAAATTTAAAAGAATAAGGTGAATGGTACCTAGGGAACAACACACCCCAAGTTGTCATATGGCTCCCAAGCACACATACGTGTGAACACAGAGGCAGACTGTGCGAAGTCAGCTCTTTGCATGACTTCATTTCACTAACCAGTTTTAGTTGATGCCCTCCAAAGCGACTTTCAAATACATTATCAATCTGAATGTACAATTTAGGACCTCACTGAACAAGTTTGTATGGAAAATGGAAGCTACTGAACATAAACAAAAACGTGTGATACTTAGCAATTGGGCACTTATCACTATGGCCCACCACATGCTTCTATAGGGACATCACTTGCATAACTATAGAGACTCCAGCTGATACCAGCTTTCACATGAGAATTGCCCCACAGATTTTTACTTTTGTCATTTTGAAGACACTCAGGCTCACTCTACTGTTTCTTAAGAAAGGGAGAAAGCAAAAGACAAGCTTTTTCTTCTAGCCTGCAAATCTGAGAGAAAGGTGAGGGGAGAATGGGGCTAAAAGGGCACAATGAAAACTGCCTCCTGGTGGCATCACACTCAACAGACTGTGGCCTCCAGTAAGTGGCAGCCCCCAGAGCTTACTCTACTAGGGTGCCATATGCTGTTTGTCCAGGATAGCCCTCGAATATACCTGTCATCCTTATCAAATCATTATACACCCATTCACAATCATTCCAAGCTTAATACATCTTTGGTTTTGTTAGGTAGACGCCATTTTCATTCAAAAACAAAGACTGCCCAGTAACTGAAATATTCGGCATTAAGTCCAGATGTGCAAAGCAAGGGCAGGGGATACCAAACTTGAAGATCAGTTTCTTGTCTGCACAACTAAATCTGATTGGCTTCTCTTTGGAAGCAACCTGGAATATGGTAAGAATTTAAATATGAGTTATTGGGAGGCTACTGAGAAAACTGAAAGAAGCCATTGTGAAAACTATTCAAATTAGTCCAGAAGACATTCAGCAATGGTAAGTCTAAGACAAACAGAACCATCTGTGAAATCAGGACACTTAATCTGGATGTTTGTAAAATAAATGAGAAAAGAATTGAAGACTGAACACAAGTGTAAGGTTGTGTGGGCTATTAGAAAGGTAACAAGTGCAAAGGGTAGATTAAGACACAGAATCGTGCAGACAGCTACTCCTATAATTGTCTATGCCCAATATAAAGATCTTGGCACACAATTTCCAGTGACTGCTTCAGCTCAGGTACTTTGACAGACAAGTGATGGAAAGAGGACCTTGGTATGTTTGGAACATACCAAGGCTGGGTGACTATCGTATCCAAGTGTGTTAGCAAAGAGCAACATAACTGAGCCCGCTAGGAGTATGAGTTCTAGAGACACGCTGCTTATGTTACCCTAGGGGTTAGTATCCTCAGGGCCTCCGTCCCTCCAGCACGTCTTATTTTACAGGGTCACATCACTTGGGTGGCTTCTGGTTTTCTTACCAGCAGTAGAGATAAACTACAGCATCCCACTCTGAAGAGTGGAGTGATTTAGTTAAGTACTGAGAAGAGTGACTGGTATTCATGTTCAAGGTTCAGAGACTGTTACTGTCACATTTACACATTAGCTACCAGCAATTCCTATGCAAACACCAATAAAGTCCCCTCCACTAAACAAAGCTATAGTAGCACTGTTGGTGAAATGTCAAAGATGCTCAAAAACGACAGGAGAAATCCAGTGAGGAACGACAAAGGCACAGCAAGCCCATTGTGTGACCTCAGAAAGGAGAAACAGAAAGCCAGTGTGAAAGGATTCCCAGGCCCGTTACCATACAGTGTTGTCTCCTAAGCATGTCTCGGTAGTAGGACACACACACTACTTTTCTTAATTATAAGATGTCAATAACACGGACACGGTTTAGTATAACAGAGCATTTAATTGCACATTTAATTTGCATCAACCATCAGACACAGTGATCATATTGGCCACTTCCACTGGTTGGCAGGAGGCTCTTCCAACAGCGGCTCCCATGGCTTCCACTGCAGCATCTTCCTTGCCAGACTCAGCTCATTTTCAGCCTATTAATAAAAGGAAATTGGAAAATAAGATTATTTGATTGATTATTCAAGAGGTATTATCAGAGTAATTCCTGGAAGTTAACTACTAGAACTCAGATTTTCACAATCAGGATTCTAAATCATGAGGTATTCTACCATCAAAGGTTGAGTATTACAAAATTCAAGCTTCAGAGTCACACAGTCACCACCAAGAAAGGTCAGCTCTGACTTCTGAGAATGAAATCTGCAGAAGTTAGTGTTCACAAGCTCTTAGAGACATAAAGCCCATCCTTCATCGCTAACAGCGGCTTTCAAACTTCACCCACATTCTCACTTAGCCATCAGCTGCAAGTCAATGATGCCCAAACCAGCAAGAGATGCCCAAACACTAAATGTTCAATGTTTCTTTACCTGAAGAATCACCTCTTCTACTTCACCACCCTGAAGCAAGTTTTCTAATTTTTTAACATCTGGTTCCTACAGTTTTAAGGAGAAAGGAAAAAGAAAATTATACATAGAAGCATATCTGAATATTTTAATATCCTACATGTCAAAAAGCTATATATAAAAGCTCTTCCAACAAGCAGTTTTTCCTCTCACCATGCTCTTATTTTTTTCAACCAAAAATTTGATTTTTGGAAATCCATTTCATTCTCTACTATTTGATTACTTCTATCTTAATATTAAAAACTATTAAATATTGACATACTTAGCAAAGGTAAGACATATGATACATTATTTAGTCTTTCTAAAACAGATTTTCAAATATTTTATTTTTGTAAATATTTTCTATACCACCAGTAAAAGAATTAAACAATAAAATGCTATGAGAAAAAAAATTCCTTTTCTGGGTCTATATCAAACAATGCATAATAAATAAATTATATATTCAAAAATGTCACAAATATCATAAATTACAGCCCCACACTAGAAATGACCTAAATGACCACCACCAATGGAACTGATCCATCAATTATGGTGCTGAGATATAACAGAATACTATATGGCACACAAATTATAATTATATGTAGCAACCCAGATGATTCCCTCAAATATACTATTAAGTATGAAAAAACAGACATGAATGGGTGTATGAAGATCATTCCATTCCTACAGAGTTTAGAAATAGGCAAAATGAATCTATTATGTTAAAAATCAAAATAGTAGCTATCAATTGGAGGGTAGTAACTTGGATAAATGATTTGGTGACATAAAGGTCACTTTTTTGTATGATATTAATTAGAATGTGTTAATTCTGAAGAGCCATCAAGCCCTACACTTACAATTTCTATATATTTTTCATGTACATTATTCTTTAAGAAAATTGCTAATATGGTACCTAGACTATCTAAAGAAACTCTTTTCTAATAGACTAAACTGTTTAGTCATTATCCTGGTGGGTTTTGTCCCATAAATTGAAATGAAAAGAGTGTTAATGATAGCAACTTTGTACTTTTGATGGTATGGGAAAGCAGAACCAGGCCCTCGCACATGTGAGGCAATGTTCAACTCTGAGCTACACGCCCAGGAACACCTAGATCTTGGAGCAGACATATTCAAACCAGTTAGACAAGGTAAGGGGCATTCAAGAGAGAAAAGAAAGTGACCCCCAAAATAAAGCTGCATGGACTCAACAGAACTGCCAGCAGCCTGAAGCTGCTGAAGTTTAAGACCTAACAGGAAATGACAGGGTGGATTAAGATAAACAAAAGCTAGACTTCAGCAGACCTTACAGACCAAGCCAAAATCAACCCGCAACCAGGACTCTCCCTCTAAATCCACCAGTTAAAGCTGAGCTTCATATACCCAGCTCATGAAGAAGCTCCCGAAGCTGAGCCTTTCAGAAACACAACACAGAAAAGCACAGGATGATTTTTCAAGAGGAAAAAGATGTTAGATTTACATACTGAGGACGCATTCTTCATAAGCAATATGAGACACAAAGTAAGATGGGACTACAAATAAATAGTTTGGAGGCAGCTGAAATAGCAGAGCAAAGGTTTCAGGTCCCTAAGTGAAGAGGTGACAGCAGCGAACTCTGACATTGACTGTGAAATGATATAAAGACATAGTAAGTGAAAAAAAAAATACTGAGATACATTTTTTTCTTGTAAGATGGGAACCAACTAAGTACCTCAGACTACTGAAAGCAGTGACAAATGGAAGAGGGGAACAAGAAAACCGACAGGATAAACAGACAAAGATCACTGAGAGGGAAAGCTGAGGAAGAATCAAAGGCACGGGGGAACAGTTCACCTCTGAGAAGCAGGGACATTCTCATTCTGTGAGGGAAAAAGACATCAGTTCATGTGCCTCAAACAAATAAAGCTACCATTAACCTCCTTCAAAGACTGAGTTTGTAAGTTACTTCCAGACTTGGCAAGCTAAGGATCAGTTAAAACTCAGATGCTGTTTAACTATAAGAAAGAGGTCTCAGCCAGGCGGTGGTGGCACACGCCTTTAATCCCAGCACTCGGGAGGCAGAGCCAGGCGGATCTTTGTGAGTTCGAGGCCAGCCTGGTCTCCAAAGCGAGTTCCAGGAAAGGCGCAAAGCTACACAGAGAAACCCTGTCTCGAAAAACCAAAAAAAAAAAAAAAAAAGAAAGAGGTCTCATTGACTGGCATTTTGATAACCTAATAATACATATGCTGTTATCACTTGTGCCCAGATGAACAGTTTTTGAATTCTACAGTCTGTGAAGTAACCATGGGGGTGAAAACTCAGCCACAGTTTGACGATTCTAGGAAAGTGGCAGTTCTCTCATGGTCTCCCACCCAGCACTGTGATTTAAAGCTGTGGAAGGCTCCACTTGGTTGTTCACTATAACAAAATACATAGACCGATTGAATTAAACATTAGAAATTTCCGCTGAGCCTCATGATACAGATGTGTGACCTCGCCTATTCTGGGTACTGAGGCAGAAGGACTGCAAATTCTAGGCATGCCTGAGTCATATACAGAGTTCAGTTCAAGTCCATCCTCGGCAGTTTAGTGAAACCCTGTGTCAACACACAAAGTAAAAGGCAGGGGTTGGGATACATACGGTATGCTTGCCTTACTTGTGTGAGGACCTAGGTTCAATCCCTAACACCATTAAGCACACAAAAACCCAGACTTTTCTTGTAGTTGTAGAGAGCAGACGTCCAAAGTCAAGGTGACAATATAATTGGGTCTAGTGAGGGTTTGTTTTTCCCTGAAGTCACAGACAGCTGGCACCTTGCTATGCACTCACTCCTACATCCTTCACTCGCTGGGCTCATGGGCAAGGGGCAAGTCCTGACTGTCGGTGTCTATTTCTAAATGTATACTAGTCCTTACAGGATCAGGGTCCCAGCCTTGTGAGTTTATTTAACTCCAATTATTTCCAGTGATGATTTATGTCTAAATAAAGCAATACTACATATTATAGCTGTAACATACAGCTTTCTGGGAACAAAGTACTCAGTTCCAGTATTAACACTCTTCAGTGGAGCTTCTGAGTAGGTAAGAAAACCAAGTGTGGCCCTCTTCCTGTACAACAAAGCCATTGAATCTAGGGCTCATACATACTAAGAACTCTACCACTAAGCCATACTTCCAGCTTTTTATTTTGAAACAAAGTCTCATAAAGTTACCCAGGTTGGCTCTAAGCTTCCTCTGTAGCCCAAGGTGACATGAATTTGTGATCTTCCTGCCTCAGCTTCCCTAGAAGCTGAGGCTTACAGGCCTGCATGACCAAGGACCAAGTACTTTCTAAAATAATTACTTTGACAGCTTTCTGTCACCTCACCATGACACAATTCTCTTGTGCTTTTGTTCTTCTCTACGGTGACTGGAAATCAAGATGGATGCTTCTACAGTAAGAGGTAAAAAGTCACTGACAACTAGACAAGGAGAAGAGGTATAAAGGACACCTGCAATGTCACCTCAGGTCATGGATCCAGTTTTATTCCTGTCCTCTAATAGTGCTTCACACACAGAAATCAATCAAAATACGGGTGTTTGCTGAATGCAAAGGAGAAAAGACGGCAGAATAGCACTGAAGGAAGGAGAGAGTACACATTAAGAGCTAAGTAAGCGACTGAAAATATTCCTTAAATGTCTTCCTGGATGTATAAACCCAACACAAACAAACTGACTTAGCTACTTACCGCTTTGACCATATCCAGCTTCTCAATGGTGATCTGTTCTGTGTATTTTCTGTAGGCTACATGTTTAGGGAACTGCTTCATAATATCAAGAATCTTTGTATACAATATTGTTAGCCTCTGAAAAGACAAACCATACACATTTCAGTAAGTTAAAATACCACCAGAATACACAGAACATATGTTAAGTATCTCACAGGAAAAACTAAAAGAGGATTCACAATTATAAACTGTGCTTTACTAAAATTCATATCTATGCTCAATCTCACTCTGTACAACCTAAGGAAAAGTGGAATACAAACATGGAAATTCTTCCTAGCTGTGATACATATAAAAATTGTGTGCACATATATCAAAAGTATAATAATAAGCTAAATTAAAACTAAATTGTATCTAATGGCCTTCTTTGGAAATCTAATCTTTATTAAGGCAGAATTCCTCATCTTGAGGTAATGGGTACTACAAATGGTACAGAGCACATCAGAGATGCCAGGAATATGGCAAGACCACCAAGGACAGCAGCAGACTTGGAAGGAGCAGCCTGAGCCTCCCAGACAAGCTGTTTGTACTGTGGATGGCATAGCCTGAGGAGTGGGTCTACTCCAAGCTCTCTAGCGCCCAGAAGATCCTAAGTACATTCCAGAACAGATGTCAGACCCTACACTATTTACACTGTTGGGTTTTAGTTTTGCTTTGATGTGGTTCTAACTGTGCTCTGTTCTTTCCTCTTGGAATAAGGAAGTATGGAACTTGTTTGTAATCTTACAGGAACCTACAATTCGGAGACTTTGGATAACATGTGTATGCAGTATACATGCATCTGCATGCATGTTTGCATGTGTAAGCATATAGGTGTTTATGAATGTATAGGTGTACCTTGTGTGTGTGGAGAACTCAGTTTGATGTTGGGAATCTACTTCCATCTCTTTCCACTTTATTTATTGAGGTGGGGTTTCCTGATTGAACCCAGGGCTCATGAACAGGACTGGATTAGCTGGAACTTCCTCAGGGGATCCTTCCTCTGTCTTCTGAATGCTGCCACACCCACACAGCATTTAAGTGATTGCTAGGGATCTAAACTCAGTACACTGAATTTTTTTAAGAAATTTGAAAGGTTGTGATCTGATTTAAACTCTTAATTTTGGCATTCTTTTAATTCTTATCCTCTCAAATTTATGAATATAGCGCATATATTCATTTTTATACAGTATTTTAATAAGTTTCAATCTGATTCAAATTTTGAGGGTTTAAAAAAAAAGATTGGGGTGGGGGCAGTGATGAGATGGCTCAGTGTCAAAGAGCACTGGCTGCTCTTCTAGAGGACATGGGTTCTATTCCCAGCATCCACAGAGCAGTTTACAACCATCTGTGACCCTAGTCCTAGGGGATGTGACACCCTCTTCACCGGTACCCAGCACACAAGTGTACACAGACATACATGCAACCAAAACACTCATACACATGAGTATCAAATAAACTAAAAACAAATATTTTTATCTTTTGGGATAAAAGAGAATGCATCTAGTCTTACAGAAATTCAGATGAGAATAAGAATGGTCAGCATAGGACAATGCAAAGAAAAAAGTGTCTATCTAATTTATTATCCAAACTGGGACACTTCGCACAGTGAAAGCAGATTCTGACATCATTATGTCAAAATACAGATGTAAACCAGAGCAGTCCTCTCAAACAAGATCCATGCAGACCCTCCACCTAAGCATTTCCGTAATCACAAGCAATCAACACTTCTTAACAACAGTTTTCTTTTCTCAGTAAGAATGGATTTTTTTCCAGTGCTGCCATGTAAAGTACCATGTGCTGTTTGGATATACAGACAGACTGGACATGGATCAAATGCTTTCTATATAGAAGAGACTGGTAAAAAAAAAAAAACAAGAGAACATGATAAACAACATAAAACACAAAATCCATTTAAGGCAGGCTGGGGTAAGATACAGAGCAGAGAGGTAGTACTAAACAACACTAAACTGATTACCTGCATTCACAGAGCTCCGCTGCCTAGTTGCCTGGACAAGCTGCTTCTATCTAGATGCCCTCATTCCTTATCATAAAATGTAGAGAATGTATAGGATGTTAGATCAGAACAGTACCAGCCACAGAGTGTCTCCACCTCAATATTAGCATCCTAGAAAGGAAGAATCACTTTAGCAGAAAGCAGAGAGGTTCATAAAAAAAAAGATGCATCTGAGTCACCTTAGAGGGAGAAAGGGAGTTGAAAACTCGAAGGTGTTGGAAGAAGCAATTTGCATGCAAAGGAACACAGGACTAGATGGCAAAAACCACCAAACCCACAAAGGAAGTGGATAGAACTCACAGCTGTGCCATGCAGTAAGCAGCTGCTCATCCAATACAGCTGTAGAGTACGTGAAATGCACCTCACTCAGACCGAGATATGGTGTAAGAAGAACAGACTGGAAAAGAGGCTGCAGATCAGCATTATTTTCATATTGATTCTATACTAAAATGATAGTATACCAGATGTTACGTTAAATCATAAAAAATAATTTAAACAAACAAACAAAAAAACCTTCTTTTCCCATTGAAACAACGTCTTCTATATAGCTCGGGCTGCCCTCAAACTGAAGGTCCTCTTGTCTCAGTGTCCCAAGTGCTGGGATGACAATCACATACCACTTTTAGTTTTTTATATTAAAAAAAAATTTCTAATGTAATTTCTAGAAAACTTAAAATTACATTAAGATAGCTTACACGTTTGGTGCTCACATTTATTTGGGTAGCATCTGACTAGAAATGAGTATACCAAAGAAACACCAAGGAGATAAGGTGGGAGGAAGAGTTAGACTGCATGTAGTTCTACATACCAAGTTAAAGAACTTGGGCCTCTTTGTGTGGGGAACTAAAAAGACATAAGAAAAAGGTGCGGTTAAGTCAGATTTTAGAAAAATTAACCCGGCAGTCATGAGTTAAAGAAAGAAACAAATCAAGGCCAGTAATAAAGCTGTTGCAATTGTTTAAACAAGAACAAGGGCTTAAGCTGTACTGGTAACTAAAGGAGGATGGAGGAGATCAAACGAGACTGTTAGAGAAAAAACTCAGCACAATTCATTATTGGAATAAATATGAACGTAAAAGATTCTAATATCAACGACAACATTCGAACTCTGAGTTGGGGCCCATCAAGAGAAATACAATCCACAGAGGAAGAATATTAGAAACAGAAAACCGAGACTTCTGTCCCCACAGTAAGTCTGAAGTACAAATGCATAAAGAATGCAAGAGAGTCATTCACTATGCACTGACTACACACCATGTACTAGTCAGAGTTCTAGCAGTGAACACACTACAAAATCTTATCTTTGTGAAGCCTGGGACAGACAAGATACATCAGCAGACGGTGGTCTGTTACACAGTGATCTGGAGAAGCCCTAAAAGGGCCCTAAAATTGAGAAGGTTTTAAAGAAAGAAGTGGCATGACCCGATACATTTTAGCACTTGCAAATCAGCTGAAAAAAAAAAAAGTCAGGAATAGTAGTTACCAAAGTAATGAAATTATCACAGGAGTGAGGAGAGCGATAGAAAAGTGGTTCTAGCCAAGGAGGCGGAGAGGCGCATACAAAATCTGGATATATTCCGAGAGTCGAATCCAGACGATTTACTGAAGTAGCGAGATGTGAGATAATGCAAGCAATCCAGTCTCATTTCCAATGGGAAATCTTAGGTGGATATGTTAAGTGTGGGTTACCTGCCTGACATATAAGTGAAGATGCTCACTGACAGCATATGTGTGTGTATACATACATACATACATGACTTGATAAGAGGAGAGGTCAGGACTTGGTATAGAAACAGAAGAGTTAACCATTTATAGGTAATGCTTGAAATCTCCACTCAATGAGAACAGAGCAAACCTAAAAACTGTCTAAGAACTGGGTCATGAGTACCACAACAAAGTATAAAAGTGGGGAATGAGGAACAACTGGAAAGGGCAAAGGATTAGGGAAAAAACAATAAACAATAACAAACTCCAAAAAAACAAAAAACAGGATACTTCGAAGCCCTGACACCAGGTAAACAAAGTACGTAGTGTAGAGCATCAAAAATGTCAAACATGCTGCTCTTGGGTCAGGAGACTCAAAGGTGCTGGCCTGCAGCCTGATGACCTGAGTTAGATTCCCAGGACCTACACGGGGAAAGGAGAGAACCAACTTCAGAGAGCTGTTTTCTGACCTACGCACACTGGCACATGCACAAATAAATAAATGTAATAAAAACATTTTCAATGCTACTCTTGGTACAATTAAGAGAAATGTGAACTGACTAGATTTAGCATCACTGGTATCGGGGATAACACTGAAAAGAACAGTTCTGCCCCAGGTCTGGCTGAGGTATTTTCAAGAGGTAACGAGAAGAAGGTGCAGATAGTAAATATTAGTAACTCCAGTTGTTTATGCATACAGGGAAGGAGAGAAATGGTGTAATTGCTGAAGACGGGGAAATGACGGGATTTTCTGTTGAGGTTTGTTTGGCTTTGCTTTTTCCCAATGGATACTGAAGGAGGCAACTGTTACGGTGGTGGGTGGGGTACACTGTGTGTGAAATCCAAAGCAGAAATGTTTAAGGCAGGGAAAGGGTGGAAAAGGAAAATGCCGACATGGAGGGCGCTGAGAACAGCCCATACAACTGAAGCTACGAAAATGCCAAGAAAAGGGTCAAGAAGAAAAGTGTCTTAATGCAGAGGCCACGGCAAAGGCAATGTAAAAAATCTGCCGCGCGCGCGCGCGCACACACACACACACACACACACACACACACACACACACACACGCACAACCTGCAAGACCAAGGTCACACACACACACGAACACACACAACCTTGCAAGACCAAGGTCTCACACACACGAACACACACACCGTACTTCACACACTCACACACACACACACAACCTGCAAGACCAAGGTCACACACACACACACACACACACACACACACACACAACCTTGCAAGACCAAGGTCTCACACACGCACACACACCGTACTTACCTCGTGTGGAGTGTCGCACACAGCCAATCCCACCAGGCCAGTGGTCTGTTCAGAAACAAAACACAGCCCTGCTATTTACGGTAATCCCACGCGTCACCGCGCGCGGAAAAGCCAGCCCGGCGCTCCCGCGACCGCCCGGCCGCCGAGGGCCCGCCCGCCGATCGGCCGCCCCTCCGGACGGAACCACGAACCCGCTCGTCCCCTCCCAGGACAGCGGAACACTCCCCAACCCCGTCGGCTTGGCGTCTCCACCCACGCGTGAGGGAGACGCGGCTGCCTACTGCCCCGACCACGGCACCACGGTGACCTCCACTCGCTCACCTTCTTCAACAAACCCGCCATGACAGCACCCGCGGCCCCGAGCGCACGGCCCTCTGGGAACCCCTCCCAGGCCTGCTCAATCGAGCGTCGATGCCGCCGCTGCTGCTGGGTCACCTAGGAAACGACTTGGTTCCAAAGGCGGGGTGAGTGCTATTCCCGCCCACCTGGAAGGGATTTGCGCGTGTGCAGCTCATGCACAAGGCTCAGCAGGCCTTGTGCGCAGCAGAGACTGATCCCGCTGTTGGGGAAAACGCTACACTACGAAAAACCTCAAATGTAGTCACTGCAGGAGCTTTAGTTTTGCTTAGCCTTTGATTGATGTCTTCACCGCATTTCCTCAGCTTACTGAAATGAGGGTGAGAGCCGGCCTGAGCATCATGAAAAAATGCTCTCCTCCGCATGTGTGAATACGACCTCATAAGTGGAAACTATAAAGTGGAATTAACTATCTGATGCATCCGTTTGCTCTTGAGGAAACTGATAAATGGAAGGTTATGAAGTCATAGTCTTTGTTCCAGTGGGAGTTTATGAGGTCATAGTCTCTGTTCCCTCTGCCGCCAGATGCTAAGAATGTCTGTCATTGTTGAGTGTGTTCTAGAATGTAGAATCATGGCTTTATAAAGGATGCATGTGTTCTTTGTAACTTTGGATTCAGGCATCTGCTGTGCGGTATTTGCTAAAGACACCGAGGGTAGACAGACCTGGCTGATCCTGGTTAAGGTACTACAAAACTGATCGTTTCCATGTGGTACAATAAGTAGTTTTCTGAACCAACCCTTTGTAGAGGGGCACACTGTGAATGAAGACTTGCTAGGGACAGTAGAATTCGCTATAAAGGGCACATTTCATGGCATCTGTGATATCAGAAGGGAATCTAGAAATGTCTTAACAAACATTGTAAGAGGATAGAATGTTCTGGGTTCTTAAATGGTAGAAGTGCACTGTGTTACCCAGAGGAGTAAATATTCCAATCCTGGGGGAAAAGGATGTTAGGAAATTCTGTAAATGCTAGAGAGAGATTAGAGCTGGGAGAGTCAGAGCCAAACTTTTTTTTTTTGTTGTTTTTTTTTTTTGGTTTTTCGAGACAGGGTTTCTCTGTGTAGCTTTGCGCCTTTCCTGGAACTCACTTGGTAGTCCAGGCTGGCCTCGAACTCACAGAGATCCGCCTGGCTCTGCCTCCCGAGTGCTGGGATTAAAGGCGTGCGCCACCACCGCCCGGCTCAGAGCCAAACTTTTGACCCTGCATCTTACAGAATTTAATACTCTTCGGGCCCTCTAGCCTGTCCAAAGAGAGCTGGAGCCTCCAGTTCTGCTTCTCGGTGATGGAAGCTTTTTATTTTTGTGAGAGGCTCGATTTTATCAAAATTGGGTGATCAAAACGTCTCCTTGAAATCCAGGCCTCTAGCTCGACAGAGGGAAATACTGGGAAAACACCTGAAAGAGAGAGTCTTGGTTCCCGATACCGGTGAGGTCGTTCCTGAAAACCTGCCCAAGGGCACAGCTCCTTCCTTTGACATCTGTCTCTGGTCATTCATAAGCAGATAGCAAAGGTGAAAATAATGGCTAGCCAGAGAGCTCGCGTCCCCCTCAAAAAGCGAGAGGGGAATAAAAAGCCCCGTTTAAGTGAGTCATTGAAGTCGAATAACAACCAAACCCCAGACATTTGGAGATCGTCTACCTCACCTCTTGTGCCATTTGTCTGGAAACAGGCATATTTCCAATTACTTATGCCATTCCCAGGGTTTTCAATCCTATTATGGACAGTTCTAGAAACTGTGAAGATGGATAACTTCTGTGACAGCTAATACTCCAACCTGGATTGAATTTAAGTTAAATATTGAGATTAAACTTATAAATAAAAAGATTAAAGTAGGCATAAGAATTAAGTTTAAATATGGCAAAAAAAATAATTTTTTTCCTAAGTGTTAATACTTTGTTTGACTAATCTCATCCAACATAAAATGACAAATTAAGTGAAACAAGACTAGAGGGATCCAGAATAACTAATATAGAGAAGGGACTTCACAAATGAGTTGAAATGTGATCACACACTACAAGTCTGAACTAATCATTCACTAAGCTGTTGTACTGATTGCTTATTCTGTGACAAAGGTGTAGGGACAAGAGAGCTCTGATGGGAGTGAGGGAGTTGGGTCTCAGTCCCCAGCGAGCTTTGTTGTGGTAGACACAGAAAAAAATCAAAATTAATAAGTAAATTCATACACTGTGACCATCTCCAAAGGAAATGAAGAGTGCACAGCGTGCACTTAGGAGGGCACGGAAGCCTCTCTGAGAAGGTGGCTTTTGTGTGGAGACATGAAGGTGAGTAAGAAATTCTTGTCACACAGAAATAGCTAAAGGATGCTGCAGCTGGAGGAAGCAGTCGGAGCAGAAGTGCTGAGTACAGAAAGTCCTGTTGCCCCAGGCAGCTCCAAGGTCAACATCATTGAACCAAGGCACCCTCTGATGAATGCAAAACCTTCAGCTCTAACTAACTGGACTCCCCCACCTTTCACTTTAGCAAAGCCTACTTCTTTGGAAAAATTCCAGTAGAAAGAAGCAAATAATAACAAAAAATGTCATGTTTCCTAGTAGGACTGGTCAAAACATTTAAAGAGCAGTACAAGGGGGTGAAGAAGGGAATAAATTTAAAGTGCAATGCCTGCCTTAGGAGCTGACAGGGAAGTGGACAACAGCATCTGCATTAACAACTGGGGAGAAGAAAACTTTGAGGACCTCCCAAATCCTGGCTAAAATTATGAAAGCTTTTACAAAGGTCCAGGGTGGAATTTTCATACTAATCTGCATGGTTTGAAAGCCTGCGTAAATATTTTCATCATATGTCTCACACACACACACACACACACACACACACACACACAACCCTTAAAATTTCATAGTCAACATGGCTTTGGGGCCTAAGCGCTAACTTGTTTGTAATAAAAATAATAAAGTATTACCTAATACAGAATGTATAACTCAGAATGCAGTAAGAAACAGTCTTTGGAGTCTTTATGTTTAAACAACCCGCCCTTTCTGGGCTACCAGGTAATCCTGTAATGCAAAAATAGTTGAAGCCTCCCGAATGCCTCTTCCTTTTCCGGTTAACTCATGAGACATGCAGCTTTCTGACCAGCAGGTGGTGGCAGAAGTTAATGACAAGCTTACATCCCTTAGATGACGGAGGATTGTTTTGCTGTTTGGTTTTTGTTTGTTTGTTTGGTGTGTGTGTGTGTGTGGGTGGGTGTGTGTGTGTTCTTTTACATATTCTGGAAGATTTGTTTGAGTTGAAATATAATCAGTAAAGCATTAAGAAATCTGGGCTGCCGGGCAGTGGTGGCGCACGCCTTTAATCCCAGCACTCGGGAGGCAGAGCCAGGCGGATCTCTGTGAGTTCGAGGCCAGCCTGGGCTACCAAGTGAGTCCCAGGAAAGGCGCAAAGCTACACAGAGAAACCCTGTCTCGAAAAACCAAAAAAAAAAAAAAAAAAAAAAAAGAAATCTGGGCTAAAATATCTCAGCATCATGTGGATAGTAGGGAAAAGAATCTATTCCAAAGTAGCAGGAACTCAAACAGATCCCCCTGCCATTCAGACAGTCATAGATAGTAGCAGTAAATAACTTAACGAAGCCTCAGTCATGTGGCCTTATATGATGTTTAAGTGTGTTACATCACATGCATTTTTAATAGAGGATGTGTGAGACTGACTTAAGGGGCTGGGGAAATAGAGGAATGAAGGAGTCAGTATGTTGTGAGTGCCTAGAAGAAGACTGGGCTGATGAGAAGTGTCTGTGGTTACAATGAAATCCAGCTGAGCAAGAGGTGGGACAGGAATGCTCAAAACAGCTCAACACCAAAGAACAAGGCGGAGGAAGAAAATGAAGTGGAATTTACATAATGTCTTAAGAGCACAGCTGTGATGGATGTCAGGAGCTGCTGAAGAGACTCCAGGAAACTCTGGGAGGAAAGCGAACCAAACACAACTGGTTGCCTGGGAAGTTACAAGAAAGGAAGTACAGTCTGATGAAAATGACTTCAGTGAGGGAATTAGACAATTAGAAATATGAAGGAAATAGTGATTGCTCTGATTATTTCTGTTAAAGGAAAATGAGTTATGATGGGATATGGTTAAATCCTTGCCAATCATGCTTAAAGCTCACACTTGCCAGCTCTTAGGTATAGAAGGGGTTTTCCTCTTTCACAATGCGTTATCCCTTCTGGTGGTTCTCAAGCTGTCCTTTCACAGAAGGCTGCTGGGGCTGCTTTTATTACTGGACCCATAGGAGCCCTCCTGGCTTGCCTGTTTCGTCTTGTTTGTCTTGTCCTTTCTAATGGGCTGTTTGAGATATAACCAGGGAAAGCTGAATATAATAGGAGACTGCCTTCCAATCTCCTCATTTTGTCTGGCAGGTATGCTCGCTCACCTCTCCCTCTCCCCCTAAGTTCGAAATTATTTTTAGCATGGTTACATCTTACTGATTTAACAAAACAGCAGAAAAGCTGCCATTGCTGTTTGGGCGGGTATGGGTAAAGGGGAAGAGGATTGCAAACTTAACCATAGTATTTTGACTTAATTTCATTCGATAATCACTTTTATAAATCTTCGATGATAACAAATGGAAGTGATATTTTGAAATTTCATGAAAAAGGAAACACATCTGTTTCCAGCGATTCTTAGTTCAGTATCCATTCTCTTCTTTTATGTAAAATTGGCTACCAGATCTCCCCCCCCCCTTTTTTTTTAACTTGTCTGAGTACTTCTAGCTACACTGTTCTAGTTTCTCAACACTTTAAAACTGCTTCTGAGTAACTCACAAACCCAGATAATTTCTAAAACATTGCTTCTCCAGCCTTGGAGGGTGCCGGCATCATCTAAAGGTTTATCAAAACTGAGAATGTTGGACCTCAACCAACACCTGCCCCAAACTGCCTGCAGATCCTAGTTTCTGATGCTTAGTAGAGTTTTGAAGTCTAGAGTAAGACCTAAATCTGAATTTCTAACGAATTCCCAGATGATATTTGTGGGGTGTGGGATATGGCCCACACTCCAGAAGGACAGTTTCACCTTGTACTCACATGCAGGCACTGTCCTATTCAGTGTACTCAGCTGTAGATTCCCATGGCCAGCAGCATCATGCGTACC